GGGCACAGGGAGTTGTCTCCTACTAAGTCAACCATTACTCCCGCTTGCTCAATGTTGTCTACAGTCAGTGAGAATTGTTATCCAACACATCAGAAGGGCTCACACCAACGTTGACTTCATTAGGAATACATTTTTGGCATATTGTATACTTCTTACAAGCCAAATCAAGAGTATCTTATTTTGCAGAATAAACCAAGGTAGACTTCAGGCTTAATTAGTTAATTAAATTAAATTAATTAGAATCCTGCAGGCCACTTGCTAAAACATGATTTGTTTCTAGACGGTGGAAACAAACCAATCCATAAGTATATGCTGTATACAGATACTGTAAAAACCTTCATCCAGGTTACCAGGAATGAACTGGAAATAAAACTTCTTAATTTGCTATTAAAGAACTGGGAGCCTAGAATTTTTGCTTCAAATAATCAGTAATCTACCTGTAAAACATAATATACTTTTTGCCTAACCCTCTTTTACTGGATTTTATAGTACATGGCCATTTGGTTTTATTTTATTTTTTTTCCTCGTTCATTAATAGTTTTTGTTGCCCACCTACAGTAAGTTCTTTTTATACTTTAACCCAGATTTCCCCAGAATTCTAGTATGACCGAAGGCTGGAAAAGCTGGCACAATTGATTTATGTGTTAAAGAATGGAAGCCTATAGCCCTTTCTGAGTGACCCAGATATTATAGATACCAGGATAAAACTTGAGCAAACTTCACTTCATGATCCCTAATGTCTTCCAATATGCCCAGCCAGCCAATGAACAGAACAGAAAAATATATGGATGTAGGCTTTTATTGGACCATGGCCTATTAGCCCAGAAGTTCATCACTACAGAACAGAGAAACTTTTATTCAGTCAGGGACTAGGGCAACAATTAAGCAGTGGTGCATTGTATTTCTCTTGAAATAATACGAAATGATTATTTCTACATTTGCATTTGTATGCATCACTTAGCATATACACATCTGTGCATTCTCTGTCCTCTGTTGGAGATGTTGCACTCAAAGAGACTATGCTAATTCTGCTTTCTGAATTACTGAATCAATGGGAAAAAGGTTTCCTTGAAAAACTCCAGACATAAAAGGGGGAAAAAATCAGCTATTGCATAATTTGGAAAAGCAAAAATGACTAATTCACATTTGCCCTGAACTTTAGGGATGGTCTAATAATAATTTTTTTCAAAATTTTCTTTTAGCAAGGGAAACTGAATTTTCTTAGGGACTTGCCCTCTGGTGGCAGTGGGCCAGAGAAGAAAGTTGGCTTTGGTTTGGGAAGGGGAAAGGAAGGTGAACCTTTGGCATGAGAGTGGGTTTTAACCCAAAGGAAGTAAGGCTTTTCCCAATATTTGTGGACTGTTTTATTGTGCAAAATATTTGGGCTTGTCCTGCAGTCAAGTGATAATAGATGGAAGTGCCCTCTTATCAGCCTTACCAGGTAGACCCGACAGGAAACAGGACCAGATGAGCTAATTCTACTTTATTGTAAAGCAACATTAACAGAATCTTGCAAGTCTGAAAGTACATATCTCCTGCCGTTTGCTTTACAGCCTGAGAAACTAGGGAGGGTCTCTTCTGAGCCTCTTCCCCACCCATTATCCAGCTGAGGACTATGCTGTCTCTTATCTGACCGTTCCCTAGGCAGCCTCTCTTTGTCTCATCTCCCAAGGTCTTTCCCACATACCATGACACCTCTGGAGAGAGAGGCTGGATAAACATTAAATACACAAAAAATAAATTAATTATAACATCCACCTGGGATGGTGGTCCTCTTCCACCAAGCATGTACCTTCAGGAGGGACATACATGGAGCAGGAAGGGAGAAAGGGGAGGCCTGCCTAGCCAACCATATCAGCTGAATCCACCGTGACAATCAATGGGGTGACCCATCCAGATTAGGGATAACTCACATCAATTAGGGATAACTTCAGTACAGTAAAAAAAATCTACTTCAGATCCTTTGGAGACTTTTAAAAGCAAGGAAAACAAAACGTAAATTACAGAGCAATTTTAAAGTCCCTGGAGGAATAAGCTGTAAGCTGACAGCACAAAATTTGTAGCATTGGCCACAGCCACATTTGGATGGGATGAGCACTCCGTAGTCCAGGGGCCATCACAGAGAAGGTGCTTCCTCTGGTCCTATGATGAAATCTCCTGGCAAGACTACATACAGCGTAGGCTCCTCGGAAGGTTGTATGGCAGGTTAGAGTAGGATAGTACAAAGAGGCACACCTTCTGGAAATGGGTCCAAGCCATGTAGGACTTCAAAGGGTCAGGGCTCAGATGTGAATGGGGAGCCAGTGAAGCTCTTTCAAAAGCTGGGTAAAATGTCCATCTGGTTGTACTGGTTGAAGATCTACCAGCTGTACTGAGCACTGTTCCTGAGTCATCCTCATAGACACTTTAATGTACCTATAGCAGGTTTTTGCTCTCCATCAGGGTCCAAATCTGCGAGAGGGGCCTGGTATCATGGTCAAAGCCCCACTCATTGCATACACATACAAGGGGTGGGACTCCAATTGTGACATTGTGTTCATCATCTTGCAGATTTTGAGAAATGTATGCATCCCCCAGACCCTCCTGCCCTACAGATTTGTCAGAACCACAGTCCCTGGTATTTCCAGACTCACAATGTCTTCATCTCCTCAGGTTACTGGCTCTCATTTTCTTCTGCAAAAGGCCTATGCGACTTGGCCTGTGTAAGTCCTTAGCGGAACATTCTCTGAAATAGCTCGTGAAAAGTATTTGCTCTCCATTTTTTTCTGGGGAAATAAGATTATGCAAGCAGAAGAATGTGTGCAGTGCAGTGTGGTCTTCCCCATTAAGTGCCCTCCCAATGCATCAGACTACAACTTGCAAAATTCCCAGCCATCATAGTGATTGCTGGGGAAGGCTAGTGTAAGAGCTATGAATTGAGAAGCCCCCATTTTTAATTTTTTTATCTTGGCCAGGAATCCCCTGGGTTACCTTGGACAAGCCACTTTCTCAGGAACACGACTTTGGAAACCATCTAATATCATCTAGCGTTAACACCAGATTATGCACCTGACATAAGATTTAAGAAGATTGCATGCATGTTAGGAGAGTTAGAATAAGATTACTGATTCCTCACATTTCTCCAAAGAATTTAAGGTAATACAACACTCAGTTGTCCTCAATGACCTGTGAATTAAAGACTGAAATAAAGGTACTGCATTGCATGGTACTGACCTCATTCGATTCTGATGACAATTCCCTCAAGTAGATCAGGTGGAGAGGTTAAGGCAAGATACTTCTGAGTGGTTTATACCATCTTGTAGCCATGGAAAGCCTGTCCTCGTTGTTATTATTTTAGTATATCAGTGGCTGGATGCTAGAAGTTCCTAATAAAAAACTGGGCAGTGATCTACTTAGAGCCAGCCAGGAAGCTTCGTTGGGAGTACAGATTTAATTGTGGGCCTCCCTGGTCCAAATTTTAACACACCAAACCGTACCCTCTACTTAGGTGAATAAACTTGACAACTGATTAAGTCTGCCCTTGTACTCCATGATCAGTGGGAGAACTTGAACCTGGGTCTTCTTGATCCCAAACCAACGCTTCCACTATTGCCTCACACTGGCTCTCAAACTTTAGTGGATTTACTTTTGAGACGATATACACAGCACACACTTTTTACAGAATGAATGCTATTTTTCCTAGCACTTAGGTAGAAGGGAGTTGGCCATGAGTTGGCTGGCCATGAGTTGGCTGTTCAAAAATGGCTGCCATGGTGGGCATGGCCAGTCCCGAAAACGCTGATGTACCAGGAGATAAACTGGTGAGGTTCCCTGACTTTCCCAAACACTTTCTCTGTATTCTACAATAGTTATTTAAAACAGATGGCAACACTTTCTAACCAATACTGTGTGGTAGTAACCCAGAAGTTGGAACTTTGCTTTGCAATATGACAGCTTCCCTTTGTTTCATTAAAGGAAGCTAAAAAAAAAAAAGTAATGCAGAAGACTTTTGGGTGCCAAGGGAGGTTTCCGTAGGCTGATATCTGCAGGGGACACATGATATATCTATTTTCAATCCCTTCTCTACACTGTTGGTAATATGGATTAGACTCATATCACATGTCTGGCTCAAAATCCAGATTATTGTTACTTCCTCTACTCCTGCTGTTTGTTTTTTTAAAAAACTATTCAGACAATTTCTAGAGGGCATCTCCTGGTCTGGCTATAAAAGAGATTAAGAAGACAAAACTAATAATTGCTAAAGTTATTCTTTCAAGATTTAACTGGCTTTCCCATTTTAGCTGCACTCGAAATATAAAGAGGACTCCACTCCACAGAATTTCATGGGTCAAGAATTTTGAGAATTGCATTCCAGCCTGGGGAAAATTATAAGCCAAGTTTTTAATTTTTCTGCTTTTGGGGGGTTTTGTTTTGTTTTTTAAACAGCAAACAATGATAGCAAAAAAGTACAAATACTGCATTTTTCTTTCCATGTTATAGGAAATGGACAGTCATACTGCCTGAATTAAGAATGATATAAATATTGTAGCCTGCTTATAGCCTTAATCTGATTTAATTTGTTATCTTCTGTATTATTCCTGCATACATGAACACTCTTGGAAGAAAGAGGAGCGGGACATGGGATCTGAAGGCCAGTACAAACAGTCCGTTGTCTGAAGTTGACATGGTGATATGGCCTGCAGAAGCAACTTGCAAACCACTTTGTGGACCTCCTTTTTTCCTTTCCTTTCCTTTCTTTTTTTTTGAATCCTAGGCGAGGAACAAGGAACAGAATGGTTTTGCTTATTCATGGTTTATTGACTAGCCCATAGTTGGCCGGATTCCTCTAACCACTAAGCCCAAACTGAACAAGTCACTTTATGTCTTACGCAATGCGTAAAGCTATCCTTGGGTCACATGACAGCAGACCTGCTCAGGAGCATTTTAAAGAATAGGTTTTGTGCAAGGTGTCTTGGTGTGCAGAAGATCTGGCCCTCACTCTGTGTTGTCTCTGTTGGCAGAGGGATGTTAGTAGTGCCCCGGAATGCCTTATGTAGATCGTCAGAATCGAATCTGCGGATTCCTGGACATTGAGGATAATGAAACCTGTGGAAAGTTCCTGCGACGGTATTTCATCCTGGACACCAAAATCAACAGCCTTCTGTGGTACATGGACAATCCTCAGGTGAGTCGCTCCCTAAAAGCATTTTGTTCAGTTCCTAAAAAGGCTCGTTCAAGGGCATGAAGGGGATAAATTTGATGGCTGCAGATGTTCTTTCAACTTTTTTATAGAACTAGGGTCCAGTTACCAATGATACCACTGTAGATGCATGAAGGCAGTTCATGCTCGTGGTTTAAAAATTGCAAATGACTTTCTCACAGTGTGCAAATTGTCTTCCCCCAAATTGCCCCAAAGGGAGAGTATCTTTTGGACCCTACCCTGGAACTCTAATTATGCTTAGATAGATCCATGATCAGTCAAACATGTCTACAATATTTATGGGACATTTAGACACTCATGTGTCAAAGCTCATATCCTTTTATCTCTGATACTGTGATGGAATGGAATCATGAAGGCCAGACTCAGGGAGACAATGCTTTTCTCCCGTCTGGCCTTCAACATGATTCCATTCCAT